ATATTTTTTGTGGCAAGAAATTTTTATCATTACAGCTACAACATAAAAAAATTTGTTGCAATAAGTATTAGTCCTTAGCCACGGATCATGTAAAGTTTGTAGCTAACTTTTAGCTACGCTACATTTTGCTACGAATGCTACGGAAAAAAATATTGTGGCTAAAGTATTTAGCCACGGAAATGTTTATATTTAGCTACAATATATTTCGTAGCTATAGATGCATTATGTTGTAGTGAATACAGTTGTCATATTGTAACTACCCGACCGGTCGTTTTACCTTTTCGAACCCCGTTCCCCTAAATAAAGCCTCTCCTACTTACTTTAACTAATTTACGACTTGCGGGCGATCGATTTGGGAGTTGGAAGAGTTTGAGTAAAAATATGCCCATTTGCTTCTTTAAGATTTTCTTAAAAAGATCAAGTTTGACTTCGGTCAACATTTTGGGAAAACGGACCCGGATTCGTGATTTGGCAATTTCTGAGGGTCCGTGGGAAAATATGGGACCTGGGCGTATGTCCGGAATCGAATTCCGAGGTCCCTAGCCCGAGTAATGAATTTTTATCTAAAATTGTTTAATTGAAGTTTTAAGGAATTAAAGAAACTAAGTAATCATTGATTCCCTAGGTATCGGGCTCGGATTTTGGTTCCGAAGCTTGGTACAGGTCCGTAATGTTGTTTATGACTTTCTCGTAAAATTTGGTGTCAATCCGAGTAGTTTAAGGGCGTTTTGACCCGTTAGAGGAGAATTAAGAACTTTAAGATTCAATAGTTTGATTCATTTGATTTTAGGGGGGTGATTCCAAGATTTAGCGTTGTTTTGGGAGTTCCGAGGGTTCGAGTAGGTCCGCCTCGTGATTTTAGACTTGTTGGTATGTTCGGGCGGGGCTCGGGAGCCCCGAGCGTCAAACAAGCAAGGTTCGAGCGAAGTAGAAAATTTAAGAAAAACAACCTTCAGTTGCTGCTTCTGTCATAACCGCATCTGCGGTTCTTGGACCGCAGAAGCGGTACCGCAGAAGCGGTACCGCAGATGCTGTTAGCACATCGCAAAAGCGAAAAGGGCCAGGCCAAGGGAAAACCGCAAAAGTGGCCCAGAGACCGCAGAAGCGGTCCCGCTTAAGCGGCCCCCAGACCGCAGAAGCGGTCCAGCTCCGTAGGCCCAAATCCGCAGAAGCGGCTCGACATCCGCAGAAGCGGACCCGCATAAGCGGGCACCTGACCGCAGAAGCGGTCCAGGCTTCTTGGGCCATTTCCGCAAAAGCGGACCTTTTTCCGCAGAGGCGATTTTCGCAGAAGCGGTCATGGTACCGCAGAAGCGAAAATCGCTGGGGGGCAGAGAGTTCATTTAATCCGAACTCAAAGTCATTTATTCCATACACAACTCCACACTTGGGCGATTTTGGTGCTTCCAAAGAGAGGGTTTCAACATAGCATTGTAAGGTAAGTAATCCCCATTCATCCTTAGTTTAAATACATGTATATTAGGTAGATTAAACACTAAAAATTAGATAAAATCAAAGAGGTAGAGCTAGACCTAGGGTTTCAATAAAACTAAGATTTAATCATGTAATTTTCTATGTAATGAGCTAGAAATGATATATTATTGATCCTTAGGTTGTAGAGAACAATTTCCTTTGAAAAATATCGGAATCCGGGCATGTGGGCCCGGGGTCGGAATTTAGGAAACTCGTGGAAAGGGTTGGAAATTACTTAAATAGTTAGAATTCGACCTTGTAAGCCTTTATTGACTGGTTCTTACTTATTTTAACTAGTTTGTGATCGTTCGGCTCCGAATTAAGGGCTTGGGCTTGTTCTTGATATCGGAAGTGCGCTTTGGACGAGGTGAGTCTCCTTTCTAACTTTGTAAGAGGGAATTGTCCCCATAGGTATAATAATTGAATTATTTGTTGTTGTATTCAGGGGCTACGTACGTACAAGGTGACGAGAGTCTGTGCGTAGCGACTATTATGCTAAGTTCGGGTAGTTTAGGACCCATGAGCATGCTTTACGTGATATTCTAGTATAGTTGATTATCTGGGATTTAATGAACTCTTGTGATTAAGAAGAATGAAATTAGAAAACGACCCTTAACCTATTTGGTTCTTAAAAGGAAATAATTAGCATTTCTATGCACGGTCACCCTCATATGTATAGTGATTGTTGTTATTGCGTGGCAATGAGTTTATTTCTGTTTGACCGCGTCGCATGGTTGATTCGCGAGCGGGGTAATAGATGCATCTATGGTTCGAGCCGTTCGACCATCGGCAGTGCACAATTTACTATTTTTATGCTGGATCGGGCCGTACGTTCCTCGGTGATTATATGCGCATGACTTATGTGATCCTTTTTTTATGTGGGTTAGGCCTCATATTTGCTTTCATGTATAGATGGACACTCGTAATGACAACTTAAAGGAAGAATTGATGTTTTGTACTTGCTAATTCCTATAAACTGAGTTATTACTGCTTATTATAAATTCTTCTCATTTTACTTGACCTTAGTAAGTATCGAGTCGACCTCTCGTCTCTACTTCTTCGAGATTAGACGGGATACTTACTGGGTACATATTGTTTATGTACTCATGCTACGCTTCTGTACTTAACTGTACAGGGTATGAGGCAGGTGAATCTGGTTATCACTCTGGTGCGCATTCGTGAGCGGATTTGGGACTTCTACAGTGAGCTGCTTTCCCTCCATGTCGATCCGCAGCCGAAGAAGTATTTCTTTTGTATTATTACATTCTGTCTATTTGGATCCAGACAGTAGGGTAGTGTGATATTCTTTTGGATGTATATTCTACTAGTTGCCCGTAGCTTGTAACACCAGGTTCTGGCACACACTTTGGTAGACGATTATTTTGGGGTTGTGTAATTTTATTATTACAGTATTCAGCTCTTCTGGTTTTAAATTTCAAATTGAGTGTTTATTTCACTTATTCTAATTAAAAGCAACATAAGTATTTTAGAAGTGTTTCCGCAATTGGCTTGTCTGTTAAGGGTGTCAGGCGCCCTCATGACCTGTTGTGAAAATGGGTCGTGACATATATAATACACTTATATACATACATTTATTCTGAAGTTACCGAGGGCCAATGAACCCCTACCAAAAGGTAGGTCCGCTTCTAGTCTAATCAGCATTATACTTTTGTTGTTCCTTTAGTTATTTGGTAGTATTGTATAGGGTAGAATTGGTTTACAATTAATGAGGAATGGCAGCGTGACACGTGGAATCGAAGGCAGGTAGAAGGTAAATCGAGTAATAACCAGTATCGGAAACAACAACCACAATTGTCATCGGATAGACCCCGAAGGGAGCATGATCAATGTGAGCAAATTAAATGTTTGCCATCAGATAGCATTCAATGAAAAATATTCCCCGGCATTAAATGAGCAGCCATTGCACAAAATATTTGCATTTGTTGTCTGCCGTTACATATTCATCAATGGTCCTTTTATTGTCATTTAAGAGGAGCTTGATCCTAGGATCTTGTTTCCCTAGGTACAACTATAAATAGTAGGCTGAACAGCCATTGTCACCAGTCAAAAATCTGTGGCGAAACTTATGCTCTATTCCATTCTCGAGCTCAATAAGATAGTTTCATTTATTCTTTACACTATTCTTATTTTTGCCCTCGGAGGCATGGTTCTCGAAGTTAGGCTTGTCATTTCCTTCGATTTTGACTACTAAGTCTTATTTTCAATCTTATTTATTTGTCATTTTTGGATCAAATCACTTCTCTTGTCTATAAATCGGCCACGTAACAAATTCAATTGTACCGTTTTACAGATAACAAATATATGTATATAGGATTCATGCGGTACACATATAGTGTGTGTTACATAAAAAATATAAGCCAGATGACAAAACAGTTGTGTGTTCAAAATATATGGGAGCAATTTGAAAAGCTATGTCCTAAGATGACTTGCATCAATATAAGGTTCTAAGGATCACATACATTGAATTGATGATAAATTAGACTATTCAAAATTGAAGTTTGAAGAAAAAAAGTTTTGAAAATTTGTCAGTGAAAACTCGAAAAAACTACTTCTAAAACTTGTTTTTCAAACTTTTTTTCTATTTCAAGTTTGAAGTTGACATAATTGACCAATTTGATAAACACATACTTACTTAAAACAATCAATCTACAGTTTAAATATTCCAAAATCATACTCATTTTACAAATTACTTGTGTTTAAGCCAGCTAGACTATGCATTAACTAAATCACTATAGTTTTACAAGCAAATGAAAAATTATGAAATAAAGAGTGGGTGACAAAGAAATTAATCAAGCAGGCAAGCAGAGGTGAATCAGAATTTGAAATTTATGGTTTCAAAATTTTAGTTCTTTTAAGTTGTTGGGATATAAATTAATAGTGTGTGTGTATGTGTGTACATATGTTTAAATAATTTCGTAAGACAAATATGGTTTGGATCAAATCTATTGGGTTCGGCTGAACCCGTAATTTGAATGCTAGTTCCACCCCCGTAGGCAAGATAATGAACATTATATTGAGATATCTTATTTAATACTTAGTCTTCTTATTCTTCATAATCAGATAATTAGTTGGAGCAGTTAGATAGTTATGCACTGTTAGTGTTTTAGGTTAGTTAGTATTGGTAAACAGTGCCAGCTGTACAAATGTGTATATATATACTCCGTATTATATCAATAAAGTTTTGAGCTTCATTTCATCGATTTCACTCTCTTTCTTCCTCTCATTCTCTCTTACTCAGTTCTAGAAGCTTCACTCCTCACCGTAGCAGACATGGCTGAGCTCGTTTACAATGGTTCTCAGTGACGATCTTTACATGGTATCAGAGCGAGGTTAATCTCGCACATCATCTTCCCCTGCATTTTGTCATTTTGATCTGTCTCCTTGTTCGATTTCATTAGGTTTCAAATTTTTCCCTAATTTTGGGAATTTCGTTTTATTTGTTAACGATTTGCTGTCAAAATTGTGATAACTGAAAATTCCTGTTTTCTCACCAATTTCATTCGATCATGGCCGTCATTGACCAAGACAATTTGACTGGAGTGGAAACTACCGCCACTGTTACTGCGACGAGCACAGGAATTGATCCAAGTGATCCTCTATACCTCCACCCATTTGATAATCCAGGAGCTATGTTCGTTTCAGTTGCTTTTGACGGAATAGGGTACAGGTCTTGGAGGAATAGTGTATTGAGTGGGTTATCTACGAAGAACAAATTAGGTTTTATAAGCGGCGAGTGCAAACAACCAGATCCTTCGTCACAACAATTTCGACAATGGGAGCGATGTGATAATATGGTGACGTCTTGGATCCTAAATTCACTCTCTAAGGAAACCGCAGTTAGTGTAGAATATGCAAATGATGGTGTTGAACTTTGGAAGGAACTGGAGGTCGCTATGAACAAACTAATAGATCTAGGCTGTATCAAATTCAGAAGGAAATTAACAGTCTTTCCTAAGGTACTCTTGATATCACTACTTACTATACTAAGTTGAAGAAACTCTAGGAAGAGCTCACTAATTTGAACAAAAGGACTCAATGTAGTTGCGCCTGTAATTGTGGTGCAAAAGAGAGTATGTGCAAAGCCGAGAAAGATAGGAGACTGATACAGTTCCTTATGGGACTGAATGAGGTATACACAGTAGTTCGAGGCAGCATACTTATGATGAATCCATTACCAAGCCTGGCACAGGCATTTTCACTTCTAGTTCAAGATGAAAAACAAAGAGAGATTAGGCCAGTTAGCCATTTATCTGTTGAGTCAACCTCATTGAACGTGAGTGCATCAGGACAGGGTTCATTTAAGACAAACTTTCCAACAAACAACAATTATAGTGGAATTCCTAGAGCCCAGCTCATATGTGAACACTGCAAAAAGCCGGGACGTAGTAAGAACAGATGTTACAAGATACATGGTTACCCACAGAACAATCAGAATTCTGCTCAGAACTTCACTCCAAGGCACCTCTCGAATGGTCAGAACTATGGCCAAAAATCTAGATACAATAAAGACAAAAAAGTAGTTGCAAGTTGCAAGGAGTTCCCAATGAAGCTGTTATCACTAAGGAAAATGAAAACAAAACACAAGATGATGGAAGGAATGTGAACCTGACTGAAGAACAATATAGACAAACTGTAAGCTTACTTCAACAATTTCATGTGGGGAATGGAGATGCTGGGAGATCCTCAGGGAATTCACATTCATCCAGTGTCAATGCTGTCAATTTTGCAGGTATGATAGTATGCACTTTTTCCATTGATTTTGGTAAACTTTCATGTAAGTGCTTTGAGTCCAAAACTGATACACGGATATTGGATTCAGGGGCTTCCAATCACATGACTTTTAATAGATCCCTACTGTATAATATCAACTTCATACCTTATCCTCTTCTAGTAGCCCTACATAATGGATACAAAGTCAAAGTATCTGAGATTGGTGGTGTTGTTCTCACACCAAAAATAGTATTGTACAAAGTCCTTTTAGTTCCCTCTTTCAAGTTCAATCTTGTGTCTGTCTATTGGTTAACCAAACATCTTAAAGGCATGCCATCATTTACTGATAATACTTGTCTTCTGCAGGCCCCTTTAGTGAAGAGGCCTCTAGAGATTGGTAAAGTAAGAGATGGCTTGTACCTGTTTTGCTACCTGTTTTGCTCTAAGTGTTTGAGAGACAACAACTCTTCCACTATAGATTCTTATCATTCTTGTGATGTAAATAGTCCTTCTTTGAATAATCTGCAATGTCATTTACCTTCATTTGTAAATAAGTCACCTCTGAATCAAATGCGGAACCTTTCCCTTTCAACTACTAATACCTTTACTTTGAATGCTGATGTCTCTGGATCTAATTCATGTTTTTCCAACAATGTAAACATCTTATGGAACAATAGAGTTAGCCATGTTCCATTTACAAATATGAAAGGTATCTCCACTATACCTGCTGAATTTTTCCCCAAGCAACCATTCATATGCACAATCTCCCCCATGGCCAGACAGACCAGACTACCCTTCACCCAAAAAGCCAGCACTTCTTCCAAAGTTTTTAAGTTATTTCATGTGGTTTTTTGGGGACCTTATCATGAACACACTCATGACAAATATAGATACTTCATCACTATAGTAGATGACTATAGTAGAACCACTTGGACTCAGTTGCTAGCATGCAAGAGCAATGCCTTACAGACAATCAAAGCCTTTATCTCCTTAGTTGAAAATCAGTTCAAAAACCAATGTATAGTCCATTAGATTTGACAATGGATTGGAATTTAACAATGTAGAAGCCAATGCTTTCTTTCAGTCAAAAGGGATTATCCACCAAAGAACTTTATACACCACAACAAAATAAAGTGGTGGAAAGGAAACACAGATATTTGCCTGAAACGGCCAGAGCCCTACTTTTCCAATCTAAATTACCTTTGAAGTATTGGAGGGAGTGTGTTCTAACAGCCACTCACATTATAAACAGGTTACCTGCTACATATCTCCAAAACATGTCTCCTTTTGAATTCCTATATGGCAAGAAACCAGACTATACACAGCTAAGAAACTTTGGTTGCTTGTGCTTTCCTACAACACTTAAGATTCACATAAGCAAATTTGAGCCAAGATCAGTTCCACATGTCTTTTTGGGTTATCCATTTGGTGTCAAAGGTTACAAAGTATTGGATTTGTCAACAAAGAAAATACACATTACCAGAGATATTATCTTGCATAAGTTTATTCCTTTTGAAATATATCCTAAGTCTAAGTCTGTGCCATTTCCCAGATTCTTTGATACTGTCCCCTATGATGAACTTGTGACTGCTAGTCATGACAATGCCACAGAAATGCCCACTGATAATCCACCATCTGATTCTTCCTATGTAAATTCACCTGGTCCAGTTGACCCTATACCTACTTCTCCCCCTTCACCTTGTTCACCTTCTGTTTCTCCCTTTCCAACTTCTCCTCTTGCCACTTCTACACTTTCTCCCTCATACTCACCTCTTTTTCTTAGTTCTCCACTAGTACATCACCCCTCTGAACCTCTAAGAAGATCACAGAGGGAACACAAAACTCCTACATATCTAAAAGACTATGTACACGTGTCAGTAATGCTGATAAACACTCTTTTCTCTCAATACCTTGTTTTCTAATTGTCACAACATAGCCAATGAATCAATGAATCTTAATAGTCAGGCTTTGGTAAGTAACATTTGCAATAATCGTGAACCATCTTCCTTTGAAGAAGCTGCTGTCAGCCCTACTTGGCAGGCAACCATGATTCAAGAGTTTGAGGCACTCTATGCCAACAACACCTGGAGCTTAGAGCCTCTTCCACCCAACAAAAAGTCAATATGCTGTATATGGGTTTACAAAGTGAAACACATATTTGATGGCACAATAGAAAGGTTCAAAGCCAGACTGGTTGTGAAGGATATACTCATCAGGAGGGTGTAGACTTCACAGAGACTTTTTCTCCAGTAGTTAAGATGACTACAGTGAGAACACTCATTACAGTTGCAATAAAAAATAATTGGCTAATGTTTCAATTGGATGTGAACAATACTTTTCTTCATGGGGATTTACATGAAGAAGTGTATATGCAAGTTCCACAATGCCTCATGGTGAAAGATCAATCCCTAGTTTGCAAACTAAATAAATCCTTATATAGTCTTAAACATGCTAGTAAACAATGGTATGAAAAGTTAACTGAGGCCTTGTGCTCTAAAGGTTTCAACCATTCCTTGAATGATTATTTACTGTTTTACAAGCAACATGGAGATTTAGTGGTTTATGTGGCAGTATATGTAGATGATGTCTTAGTCACAGGGGCAAACCAGAAGGGAATAGTTCAACTGAAAGCTTTCCTTCATGACAAGTTTAAGGTAAAGGATTCGGGCAACTTGCACTACTTCTTAGGGCTCGAAGTTCTATACAAGCCTGATGGTGAAATTATTTCTCAAAGTAAATTTGTTCCAGATTTACTAAAAGAGTACAATTGCTTGGAGTCCACTGCTTTTAGTTCACCACTTGACCCTAATGAAAAGCTAAAGGCCAAGGAGGGTAAACCATTAGATGATCCAACCTTTTATAGAAAGCTTAAAGGGAAATTAAACTTTCTTACCAACACAAGATTAGACATAGCCTTTGGAGAATAACACTTAAGCCAATTCATGCAAGACCCTAGGGAACCTCATCTGAAAGCAAGTGGATACATTGTCCTATTGGGAAATAGCCCACTCAGCTGGAAATCTAAAAAGCAGGAAACTGTTTCTCTATCTTCAGCAGAGGCAGAGTACAGGTCCCTTAGAAAGGTGGTTGGTGAACTGGTTTGGTTGAGCAGGCTTATGACTAAACTAAGAATTCCTTCCATTCATCCCATTTCAGTATTTTGTGATAGTTTGTCAGCCTTACACATAGCTAAGAACCCCGTATTTCATGAGCGCACTAAACACATCGAAATCGATTGCCACTTTCTGAGGAAATAGCTGCAAGAGGGCCTTATTTCATTGCATCACATTACAACTGACCATCAACTTGCAGATATACTTACCAAGGCTCTAACAAGCATCAAGCATTCTGGTGTTCTAGCCAAGTTGGCAGTGTTCTCACCACCTCTAACTTGAGGGGGTATTGAGATATCTTATTTAATGCTTAGTCTTCTTATTCTTTATAATCAGATAATTTGTTGGAGCAGTTAGATAGTTATGCACTGTTAGTGTTAGTTAGGTTAGTTAGTATTGGTTAACAGTGCCAGCTGTACAAATGTGTATATATATATACTCTGTATTGTATCAATAAAGTTTTGAGCTTCATTTCATCGATTCAACTCTCTTTCTTCCTCTCATTCTCTCTTACTCGGTTCTAGAAGCTTCACTCCTCACCATCGCAGACATGGCTGAGCTCGTTTACACTGGTTCTCAGTGACGATCTTTACAAGCCACTCAATTAAAAAGCAAAATTAGCAAGTTGCATAATCTTTTATCTAAGGATCATAAATAATACGGTTGGGAAGATAAGAAAAGATACATATATAGATCGATGTTGCTTTAAAAGGTCTAAGGACCATGCATTTAATTTGTCACATCACTTAATATCTTCTGAATCTTAACTAATATATATGCGCCCAAGTAATAGCATGCATGACCCCAAATTGTAGCTACAATTAAGACCCCACAAAATCATAATTAGGTGGAGCAACTAATTAATCTGATAATTAATTATGTGATAAGAGCACAAAATATTCATTGTAATCGTTGTCCGTTGATAATGTACATGTACGTGAACTAAATAATATTGCAATATACATGCATGATAGGGTAGGTATCCACTTTGTTAAAAGTCCTTAACTACTTATACAAGAAGATGTTCAAATCAAAATTTAGATAGATAAGTCGTAGGAGTATAATTTTATAGAATAAGTAAAATAAAGTTATAGAAACATTGTGCTTAAACAAAAAATACGAAAACAACAAAGAAAAATGAAAAAATGAAAAAAAGAAAAAAGAAAAAGAAAAAGTGACGAGCTTGGCTAAACATATTTTTTTCTTTAATTCCCATATGGTATCCGTACTGGGGTTCGACAAAATATGGATTCGCGCTGAGAAGTTCTATATTAGGGGTAAAGCGTTTCCTACGTTAGGCTATTCCATACTCATGTCTCGAATCCAAGACTTCTACTTAGAGATTGAAAAAATACTTACGGCTTCAGCATAATTCTTATCGGTCATGTTACAAATATTATTCTTTTTTGGTACATATAGATAATTTATTATTCTTTTAAGGCGAAATACATAAACGGCCCCTTCAAGTTGTCCTCAACGACCAGCTGAACACCTCAACTGAGCCTATTTTCAATTAGACACTTCAAGTGGCAATTAAGTAGGTCAAGTAAACACCTGAGTACAGCAGACCATATGCGTGAATTGCACTTGCCAATGACATGTCAAATGGACCAATCAAAAAATGACACGTGTAATTTTGCCATAAAAATTTGACACATGTAATTAACAAAAAATATACGTTTAAAGAAACTTCTTTATCATCTCCTCTTTCATTTTACATAGCAGTCGCCGACTCCTCCATTTCTGCCGCATCGCCACCAATCGCCGCCTTCGGAGCAAT